GCCTGTTCAATGTGATCGTCTGAGAGAAGAGAAAGCAAGCCCATTGAGAAATTATCAGCATCCCAGGATGCTGGTGAAATCAAAGTTAACGGAGGTGACGGCACCGCTGTAGCTGGTGGTGATGAATAGGAAGCCGTTATGTTAGGTTCATGTTGATCTTTCTCTGCAGAGGCCTGTTCTATTAAGGAAAAAGGTTGAGTTTCACGCTGGCTGACTCGGTGACAACGATCCTTGGTCAGTTGGCGGAGGAATCGAGCAAGCATTTTGAAGAGGAAAACTGGTGACTTGGGGAGTGGCATATTTAGAAGATGCAAGCGAGCTAAGTGTCGAGCGATCTCTGCTGATATGCAGGGGATACGTAGCTCATCCGTTCGCAAGGGCCGCGACTGAATGTTTGAGGAGGGAAACAAATGCCTAAATAAGCTTGAGTTAATATGACTAAGAGCTATAGTCAGCATAGTTCGTATGTGATGGAAGACTGATAGTTAGATCTTCCACAATGACAAACAATTTCCCTTAGCTTTACTTCCCAAAAGTTATTCTTATGTTTACAGGTAAAAATAAAGCAAACAACTTTTGGCCTAAGAAGTGAGAAAAATAGCAATATAAAAATAAATCCTATTAGGACATTAGAAGGATCCCAAATTGAAGCTTTACGTTACATAACGGGAATTTTTGTTTAAACAAGACGAGTGCTATATGTTTACCCAAAGCCCCCCTAAGATATGAATTTAATGTTTCAATGCATAGAGTAGCATAGATATACTTATGATAAACTAGCCTACATCTTAAAAAAAGCCAATCATGAGAACTGGGATTTTCAAGGGCAATTGGTTGCAATACAACCAATTTATTGCAGTTTTATAAATCAATAGCAAGACGGCTACCCATCTCTTCTTAATTAATTTAATTTGAAAAATTCTGGAGGAAGCGTATCATTCCATAGCAGAGTATAACTGTAGAAAACAGGTTGGGCAAAAATAAGATGATCTCTCCTATCAAGGATAGAACTTTCTGAATATATCAAACGTGCTATTCTATTGTTGTGAAGACTTTCATTTCTTATGGAAGTATATGATAAAGCGATTCCTAGGTCAATCTCACCAGAAGACGCCCGCTGATTCGCGTTGTGCTATAGCCGTTTAGCATTAATACTATATTCAGGTTAATGTAGTCCACAAGACATCTTCCTACACTTCGGACGAAAATTGACTAAGATTTACTTCGTCATATTAATGAAAATCATAAGAGCTGGGACTTATCCTGGCAAAGGTCTCAAGTTAACATTAAGTCATATGACGAAGGAAATATCAGCCCTTCTTTGCTCGAAACGATGAAGGATGTCTCATAGACTGCATCAACCTCAACGTCGCAGTAAAGCCAAACGGCTGAAGCACAACGCGTATCAGCTAGCGTCTTCTGGTGAGATTAGCCTACGAATCTCTACATCATGTGGTTACATATGAAATTAAATTTGATATTTCTAATCAATTATTTATACTAAGTTAGTATCCTTAGTGACTGTAAAGCAATACAGACTAGTTTATCAGTACTTAATCACCCAAGTCTCATAAGATGATTTATAGACGGATAGCGAAGTTTTCTCATATTCGAGTCTGGAAGAGTACTTTCTCTGGATATAATTTATAAGTAATAAAAAATAACGTAATTAGGTTCTCACCGCAATATATTCTTCAATTCGACCACCCCGAAATACGCCATAGAGACGAGGGCCAAGGCGCTTTTCAGACAGAAGAGCAAATATAACAGAATCCAAAACAAGTGAATCCAAATTATTTCGAAGAACTTCCCCATACACTCTAATAAGAACTTTGGACGGAATTCCTTCATCAGTATCACTTTGGTTAAGGTCTTCGCCGGAGTCAAAGCACAATATACCGGCATGTGTAAAAGATACGAGGTCTTGTTTCCCAAATTTCTTACTAGAGTGAAATTCATTC